CACCTCAGCCTCCCAAAGGCGTGGGATTACAGGCTGAGCCACCGAGCCCAGCTTTATTTTACTTTTACTTTTATTTTTTAAGTCAGGGTCTCACCGTCACCCCAGACTGACGTGTAGTGGCACAATCACGGCTCATTGCAGCCACAAACTCCTTGGCTTAAGCAGTCTTCCCTCCTCAGCCTTCTGAGTAGCTGGAACTATAAGCGCATACCACTACAACCAGCTAATTTTTTATTTTTTTGTAGAGATGAGGTCTCAAACTCCTGGGCTCAAGCAATTCTCCCAAAGTGGTAGGATTACAGGCATGAGTCACTGCACCCAGACTCTGATTATAGGGGTATGTGAGCACGTTTGTTACATGGGTATCCTGCATGATGGTGTAGTTTGGGTTTCTAATGAACCTGTCACCCAAATAATGAGCAGAGTATTCAATAGGTAGTTTTTTTGAAAGGGTCTATTTTTCATCTTAACTAAGTGGTAAGGTATGGAACAGCAAAATCAAAGTTCTTATCAACTGAATACAGAGTTTTCTGAAGTTATGATGATTTTTTTTTTCTTTTGAGTTGGAGTCTCACGCTACCGCCCAGGCTGGAGTGCAGTGGCATGCTCACAGCCACGCAGCGTCCATCTGCTGGGCTCAGATGATCTTTCCGCCTCAGTCTTCCAAGTAGCCAAAACTACAGGCGCACGCTACCACGCCTGGCGAATTTTTTGATTTATTGTAGAGATGAGGTCTTGCCAAGTTGCCCAGACTGTTCTCGAAACCGTGGGCTCAGGCAATCCGTCACCTTGGCTTTCCAAAGTGCTGGGATTACAGGCTTGAGCCAACGTGCCCAGCCAATGATGAAATTTTAATGAGGGAATTGTTTCATTCATTCATTCAAAAATATTTACTGAGTACCCATATGTCAGGCTGTTCTAGTTGCTCAGAGCAGAGCAGCAAATCAGAGACAGTATCTGTTCTTAGGAAGTTCAAATTCTAGTGATGGGTCCACTGGTAAACAAATGAACAAGTGATGACCTAATATATGCAATGTTACTGTGCGCAATAGGAGAACTGGGAGCCACGAGGTGGGAATCTTATATTGAAGGTTCAGGGAACGCTTTTGCGAGGAAGTGGTGTTGGAAGATATGAGAAATTGAACCTATACGAATCTAGGGAAGGGAGCTTTCCAAGCAAGGGAAACATCAGTGCAATAGTCACAAGGCAAGAGCTAAATTATGTGTAGATATTGTGGGAGGAGATAATTTATAACACCCAGATGGAAGTCCTAGCTGAGTAACCATATCGACCCATATCGTGATACCTATGGCGGCTGCGAACTACGAGCAGGCAGGGGCCTCCTCATACTGCTCCGCTCAGCATGGGACGCCCAGGGCGAAGCACTTCGAAGCTGCTCCACCGGCATTTGTAGAATAAACCCACTGACTGTAAATTCCACTCAAACACTTTTGACGACTTTGCAGAGTTTTCTCGCAATTCTACACTTCACTGGGTCATTCCGGCTTCTAAGAAACTATCTCCACTTCCTGAAGCCCTTTTAACATATACAGGTCTCACTCTTAAAGGCCTTGAAATTGAGCTACCAGCAATGGATGTTCCCCGGGGATGCTAATGACCTTTCCAGGCCACCCTCCCGCGCCGCGTACCACACGCTCACCTTCCCATGACACCAGCGACACACCCCTAACGCTTTCGCGCCCAACGGCGCCTCTTTATAAAGATGTGATGGCGTCACCGTGCGTCGCGCGTGCGCAAAGATGGTGGCGTGACCACGCCCAGGCCTGCGCGGAGGCCCCAGCGTCGGCGCAGTAGCCAGTGCCTCCCCGGAAGAGCTCAGAGGCTGGCTCGGTGAGTGAAGTCCGGCCGCGGGTGGGAGCCCCAACTGTCCGAAGGTCGCGCTGGTCCCTACAGAGCCGTTGGGGAGGATGTTGTCCAGGTGAAGAGCCGGGGCGCTGAGAAACTTCATGAGTCCTTCGGGTAAAAGCGGGAGTGGGGGCGGCCGGAGGGCAGATGACTGAGTCGGTGCGGATCTTCGGTCCTAAGGCGAGAACGTGTCTTGGGTTTTGTCGGAAGTGCTGATTGCGGGCCTCATAAAAAAGTTTTACCCTGAACTGACTTTCTGGGATTTCCTTGACCCTGCATTAACTGGCTCCGTGACAAAACGAAACTGGGAGGAAGGAAGCGAGGATTGGCCTGCTGTGATCTTAGCGGAAAAATATCCGTAATTAGACCCGGGAGGGCGTGCCTGAGAGCGATTGCTGTCCGCGGTGCTGAAGAAAAAGACTGCCACGCCTCGAGGAGGAAACCTGATGAGGGCAGGCGGCGTTTCCGTTTCTCCTGGCTGAGCTCAGCACCCAACACTCAGTAGGTGTGTGCTTTCATCAGCGCTGGACACAGGCGGTTAACAGACAGGCACGTTTGATTTCATAACCTTTAGGAAGGCCTCGTTCCAGGGAGGAATTTTATGCCTGTCTTTTTCTCCCTTTAGGGCAAGCACCTCCAGCTTTTGCCCCACAGATGATTTGCCTCCAGGCGGGGGCCTTCAGAGCATTTCACTAGACCTCTGTCTGTCTCGGCCCGGTCTCTTTAGCTAAGGTGAGCTTACTCATGCTGTCACGTGTGCCATAAAAATGAGGTTTCCTCCACAAATGTGAGTGTTGAGCAGCCAGGGTGCAGTGAAGGTATCTAATTGTGCTTTTCCTCGCAGTTACATAGAAAAATGCTTTCCCGTTTGGAAGAGAGATGGTAGAACTAGGCAGTCTTCCAATAAAGGAAAGACCATGAGTTTCCAGTTGGTTCTCAAAGTTGTTTGCCTTTCTGTGTGTGTGTGTGTTCACATGCATAAGGGATGGTGTTTCTGTGTTGAATTTTACAGAGTGGATTTTTTTCCTATCTGTTGATACAATAAATGTTTACTAGTCTTAGTACCAGCTGCTTGTTTGCTTTTAATTCTGATTAAGGCTAGAGTCTGGGGGGGGGAGAACAGTGGGGAACATGTGTAATGTGTTGAGTTTACCTGATTAATGGTGTTCTTGGATGCATCTGGCGTGGGGAAAACTATGCATCCTGAATAAAAATGTGTTTAAATGCATTCTTTCATTGATATTACATCTCAAGTTTTCTCTTCTGAGAGAACCAATGAGTTAAGATACTAAAATAATCAAATGTCATAAAGCTGTGGACCTTTGGTAGAAGGTAACTTTTAAGTGTTTTTATTATTTAGCAGAAAGCATATAACGCAACTTTGATTAAAGATGACTTCCTTGTTTGTTCAAGAAATTCGTCTTTCTAAAAGACATGAAGAAATGTAAGTTTTTTTGGTTTGTTTTTTAAGGATAATCCAAATGTAAAAATTGTAATGACTTTGTTAGTGAAATATTGCATGCACAGGAAGACTTAAAGATTCAAAACCATCTCATTTTAATTTTCTGACACTTAAGAGATTTTGGTGTTAGGGAATTTTGTCTCTTAAGAATAATCAAGATTAAGAGGTATGATTGTGTTCTATTTTTTTGCTTTTTGTTACTGATATCTAGATAAATTTGCCCTTCCTCTCATCCTTTCTAGGCTCCATGTTGGTATTTAATGAACTTCTCTAAGCCTCTTACTCAGGGCCTGCTTCACAGGTATATGACCTATATATGGTCACAGGCCCTGCGTTTGGTTGAATGCTCTCATGTCACTGTCTTGAATCACTTTGCCTGCAAATTGTGTAGCCAGTCCTGCTCTTGCATTTAGTATTATTAACCCTTTTCCGCTACTGTCTGTGGGCTCTCAGGCTTTTGTTTTCTTTAATTACTACCAGGCCTTCTTCCTTGGCTTCAAAGATATTTTCCTTAAAAAAGAGTGTTCAAAGACCTGAGTTTTTAGTTCCACCTTCAAGACAACCTGGTGAAACACAGTGTTTCTTGAGAATCTCTGCAACTGTTTGGGAAATGGTTTGATTGTTACGTATACTTCTATTTTTTTTTTAATCATCAGACATTGTCTTATTAGTCATTTAAGAGGACCACACATTTGCAAAATGAGCATTTGACTAGCAAGAAACTTTTTTTTTATCTTCAACTTTCCTTTAAAGTCATAGAAACTTTTAAAGTATATTATATATAACAAAGTCATTTGAGAATTTACTTACAACTTTTTGCATCTTCAATTACTGTTTTACCTTGTTGTGAGTATGCATACATACACATAGCCTCTCACTCATATATCAAACCATCATCTTTCTCTTGCAAAAAAGAGGGAAAAAAATATTTTTATTGCTTCTTCAAACATATGGAAGTTTAACACAATTCTAAATGTGTAACATGAGATTCAGGGGTACTGAAGTGTTAAGCAGAAGGTTTCATATAGCAAGTTATATCAATGTATGTGTGTCGGGAGGTATATATAACTATGTGTACAAAGGGATATGTATTACAGTTTGCATTTTCACCAAAAATTAAAACATATCTTCAACACTCTAAAATAATTTCAAAAGACCAGAGAGGCTAAAAAAACAGAAGCATGTACTTATGGCATATATAAAGAATATGTTAATGGAAATAAAAATAATTTTACCCAGATTGACTTAAGATTTATTGAACTACCTAAGTTTTTCACTATCATATTAGTTGACATAGTAATTGACTTTCTAAATAGGTTATAGTTAAAGTAATGAGCAGTTAAGAAATAAGTTGTTATATTGGTAAGGCAATAAAATGTTTGCTTTTCAAATTTTTTAACTCTATGTAATCTTCATTTTTTTTCTAGAGTATCACAAAGATTAATGTTACTTCAACAAATGGAGAATAAATTTGGAAATCAAAACACAGAAAAGGCGTCTCAGCTGCAAGCAGCTGAGACTGCTTTTAAAAGGAACCTTAGTCTTTTAAAGGTAAGTTTCCATGACTTGAGGTTAGAGATTTTTCCTATCCTTTCCCAAATGTTTTAGGTGAATTTCATAATATTAATTTATATGTCTTTGTTCTGAATAATAAGTAAAATTAATGAAGCAGCATTTTTTAAACTCATGTTAGTTGGATAAGTAGCATATGGATTCTCATCTTTTAAAATGAAAAAAATTGAAGTCTGCTTAAGCTAATGTTTTCAATCAACCAGAAAATCAGTGACTTTAGAAGAAATTTTAAGGTCACCGTGTGCCAGAAGTAAAAATAGAAGATTTACCCTTCCGTCTTTCATCCTCTTTTATTTGAAGGAACATCTTGAAAGACCATAAAGTATCTATAATGAATTTAGAGCCAATTCAAAACTACCAAACATCATAAAAACAAGAACAATTTGATTTTGCTCTACTAGGACTATAGTCAACACATAGAATTCATATCTATATAACAGATTTTCTAGATTGCTTTTAATGGATATGGAGGAGGTGGTCAAAGTGTATGATTGTGCAGGGCCTCACCATTTGGCCAATGTGCCCATTTGGAGTAAAATCATATGTGTAACATTTTTGGCTGCTTGCTATACTTCGCTTCCAGAATTGTATGGCTTCATCCATAATTAAAACCCTAAAGTTTGCTTCCATTCAAGCTTCCAAGAGATCCTATGACTAAAACATTTGGTAGTAAGACTATATTATTTAAGTTATAAAGCAGTGTTTTCAGTTTTTTATTGTTAAATATTTTCATCGATAGGCATGATATAGTTATCTTCTGTCCTCACTAGAGGATAAAGGAAGAGGAAAATTCAGTTATCTTCTCAGCTTCTGGCAGTTTGATCCACAGTAATTTAAGTCACAGCCATAGTGCTACCAAAGCATTCTATATTGCCATATGTCTTACTTGCCCAATGGTGTTAGCAATATTTATTTTTAAATGGAAATATATAGGATAATCTGGAATTTGCTCTAAAAAGTTAGAAAAACTGAATTGGAAGACTTGATTGCTACCTACCTGCAGCAAGTGTTATGATACTTGGTTTAAAAGTGTTTTCCTTTTAATGAGCAAGTATTTGATGAATGCCCAGAAGATCCTTACTGCTGAGCTAGTTCTGAGCAGAAAGTGGGGACAAAAAATAAATATGAATCAAAGGTCTGGATATCAGGGAACTTACAGACTTAGTTGATGATAAATTGTTGTAAGCTTCTTGATATCAAAAACTCCTGGGACTTTATGTGATCAAACATTAAATTACATGGATTAAATTTAGGACTAGGGCAACCCTCTCAGGTCCCCTCCCACTCTGTCCTCTCAATAAATCCTGTTTTTTAAAAAAAAAAAATTAGGACTATAGGAGTAAGAGTGAAAAGGTCTTTGAGAGCTAGAATATGCTTAGAGGTCTCAGAGAGGAAGCTAAGCTTAAACTGTGTTTGAATAGGAAGAAGGCAAGGCATACTGTTGGATTCTTACAAAAAAAAACTAAGACCCGAAGATTGAATGGCCCTGTTAATTAATGATCATTAGAGTTTGAGCTAACTAGCATAAAATTATAGGAAACAAGGTTGGATATATGTTGTAGGGCCAAGGAAGTTGAGACTTGTTATACAGAGAAAATATAGTACCAAAAGTATCTAAGCAAAATAAAAATAAAGACCTATATAAGAAATGTATTAATAGGTATTTAAGAAAGATTCATTTGCTATTTAGATACAAGGTCATTTCAAGAATAGAGAGACTGGTCAGGTGCAGCGGCTCACAGACTGGGCACCATGGCTCAGGCCTATAATCCCAACACTTTGGAAGGCCGAGATGAGAGGATTGCTTGAGCCCAGGAACTCAAGACCAACTTAGGCAACATAGCAAGACCCTGTTTCTACAAAAAATCAAAAAATTAGCTGGACATAGTGGTACGCACCTGTAGTTCCAGCTACTCAGAGGCTGAGGCAGAAGGATCACCTGCCACTGAATTGCACTCCAGTCTGGGTGACAGAGTGAAAAAAAAAAAAATAGAGTGGCAAGACTAGGGTTAAGAAGGGAAACTAAGAAATCATTGTTATATGGATAAGGAAGAAAGGAAGATAATGGATCTGGTTTCATATTGTGAGAAACTTCAATTTGGAATGGTATTTTTCTCCTGATTATCAAAGTAATATATTCTCACTGTAAAAAAATAAATGAAAGGGTAAAGAAGATGAAATAGCATACCTTCAATATCATCCCACCCATCTAGAAATTAATACATTTTTGTATATTTTCTTCTAGTACATTAATGAATGTTTAATGAGCACCTATTATATCATAGACACAGTGCTTGCAGCTAGAGATACAGTCTCTTCCCTTTTTTTTTTGCATTCTTTGAATAATTATATTTTTAAGTCTTGGCTCCCCTAATATTTTTGGAAATAATTTAAATGACTCTACTAGTCATTATAAAGGTAAAATAATTACAGAATTAATTAATTAAGGACTTAATTACAGAATTTTGAGTTGGGAGAGACTTTAAAAATCATATGGATTAGGGTTAGATTCTCATTTAGAAGTTTTCAAAATGTCTTTAGCATTAAAACTTTTTCAGAAATGTAAAATAGATAGAAGTGAATCTGCTGTAGCTGAAACCCCACCCTTTCAGCCTTTTCCTAGCTGTGGCTGTAAGGAACTGTAAAAAAACACTGATCTGAGTTAATTCCTTAATTTAGAAACCACAGGGGTAACTATCCCTGATGCCCCTGAACAGGTTAGACTACATCTAGGATAGGTACTTTAGAAGCACAGTGTATACTTTAAAGATAAGGGTTCCAGTAGTACTTGAAAGCATTCCTATAATGGTAGTAACAAAATATGAACAACCTCTATTAACATTCATTATTTGACCTTATTTAGATATTCTGACCAAAATAATAAACATTAAAAGGGAATGAGTTTTAACTTTTGAAAGGAAGATATAACACTTAACATTTTGAAATGATATAGTTATGTTGAGTTGGGTAAAATTAATAGATTAAAGTGACAAAAATCAATAGCAATCCTATGTATACAGCTGAAAAATAGATTACATTCACATTAGCAGTAAAATTCTAAATATTTGGGAGTGCTCTTAACAAGAGTATACATGATTGGTATAAAGACAATTATTACATTAAAATGAGAGATTTAAAAGAAAATATAAAAGAAGATGTATGCCTTAATCCTAACTAGGGAAACTATTGTATTTCTAGAGTCAGTTACCATAAAATTATTTTTATTTTATTTTATTTTATTTATTTATTTATTTATTTATTTTGTGTTGGAGTCTCACTCTGTCGCCGGGACAGGAGTGCAGTGGCCGCTCCCGGCCACCGCAGCCTCGCCTGCTGGGCTCCGGCAATCCTTCCGCCTCAGCCTTCCAAGAAGCTGGAATTACAGGCATGTGCTACCACGCCCCGCTGATTTTTTGGTTTATTGTAGAGATGAGGTCTCGCTGCCCAGGCGGGTCTCAAACCCGTGGGCTCAGGCAATTCACTCACCTCAGCCTCCCAAATAACAGGCTGTGCACCGTGGCTCATGACTATAATCCCAGAACTGTGGGAGGCTGAGATAGGAGGATTGCTTGAACCTAGGCAACACAGCAAGAACTTCTCTCCAAAAAAAAAAAAAAAATTCTTTAAATTCATTTGGAAAACTAAACTAGCAAGAATATAAAATATCAAAGAATTTTTTTTTAAAGGAGCGATATGGAAAGACTAATCCCATCAAATATTCAAACCTTAGCCAGGCGTGGTAATGGACACCTGGAGTCTCAGTTACTCGGGAGTCTGAGCAGGAGGATCACCTGAGCTCAGGAGTTTGAAGCTGAAGTGAGCCATGATCATACCACTGCACTCCAGCCTAGGTAGCAGAGGGGAGACCCCAGCTTGAAAATTTTTTAAAAATTCAAACATGAGTAACCCTCTTTTGAGTCTCCTCCCGCTGCTGTGAGAACTTTTCTATCTTCTTAACAAAGCCTTGCTTTCTCACTCAAAAAAAAAAAAAAATTGAAGTATATTAGTAAATGAGTAGATATGCATTTAACTAGTGAAGAAAACTCGTAGTCAGGTTTTAGTCAAGAGCTATCTTATAAAAGATAGTGAACTTTGAAAACAGACTGAGTGATTTTTCCCTGTTAGTATTAGCAAAATGGAATTTATCTGCCTTTTAAGAACATAAACAAAACTGGTATGGATTTGGAAGAGAATTCAAGAAGGAGAATTTTTTTCTATAAATACTTCCATGAAATTAACTGTCATTCCTTCCCCTTTCCCCTCTCTGCCTGCCACAAAATTTAAAATCTAGACAGGCAATTCTGTGGTAAGAATATCATCTAATGAGGAAGCCAGACAAACACTCTGGGGTGAATAAGAATGGGAAAGTGCTATAGCAGATTAGAGATGCAGGGAGTTCTTCCACTGAAGAGCCCCTGAAGCTTTCACCGGGCAGTTGGCAGTTAAACAGGGTCTTCAGAAACTTCCACCCAGGATGGCCAATGACTTGTAGGGCCAGATCTCTCTCCTCTTTTCCTCTCACATTTCCTACTTTCTCCAATTCATTAAAGTGACCTCATATTTTGTGTTTTAGTGTCTTATTTTTCCTGTCCCCAAAATTAGCCCTCCAGCAGATTAAAAGATTAAAACCAGCCTAGCCATAGCTAGGTTTATTGCATATATTCATGGTGACATATAGGTATATTGGTAGTTTGTGGGGGTGGGACATGAGTAGGGACAGGTAGAGAAAGAGCTCAGGACGGGACTTTTTTGACTCATGTTTTACCTATTCTAATCCTGAGTCAATTCATTTAAATATAGTCTTCTGAATCCTGCCACAAAGTAACATTTATATCATAATCCATATTGGAAAATTGTTTTTTAATTGTTATGAAAAATTTTAAGCCTAAATAGAAGAGGGAATGGTAGAATATGCCTCCATGTCCTTATCACCCAGATTCAATAATTATCAGTCTTGCTCCATCTATATACCTCATCCC